GAAAAATCAGTCACTCCCATTACCAATTTTGGCTGGACACTGGCCAAACTTCGAAAAGGTTTTGCGGGACACTCACCCCCGATAGCACGAAATATTCATTGAATATTTATTAATATTTTTATCTTACTTAAATATTTGTTATCCTAAACAAATATTTGACAAGTATTTGGAATATAATATTTTTATTAAGTATTTGTTCAATATCTTTTAAACATTTTAAATACAATATTTCTGTTGTAATATTCATCCAATCTTTTCAATCACTGCAAAATATTAAAGCTTCATTGACCAATGGCATATTGGCAAGCCGACCTGAGCCAACCCGTTTGCCGGCATCCATTTTGCCTGTGAGTTTCACTATGATAGCGTGCTTCCTGTGTACCTTCAAGTACTACATTATTTGAGTGTTTTTTTTCTGGAAAAGGGTAAGTTTTGCGATAATTACATAGCTTAATTTATCTGACTAATGAACATTATTGTGCCAGCTGAGTATAAAGGTATTTACAAGACCATAAATAACTAGTCTTGAAGTGTACCACTTATTTGCGATTTGGGATTGGTGGATTTATCTGAAAATGGATAAGAAAACCGTATTCATAACATCCCAGTGAAAAGTCATATAATCACAACTTGATCGAGATATATCAAAAAATGCTTGTTTTGAATATCCCAATTAAAATTATTATTATTTTTGTCGTAGTAGAGGGAAAACCAGCTACAAACAACTATTTCCAAATTTTTAAGTTCAACAGCGATGTTCCAAAATTTTAACAGTCGAAAATACTATAATTTTGTCCCCGTAATATAAAATCACAAAATAGTTATGACTAAATTATCCCTCTTAGTAAGGATCAAGTTGTTCCCATGGACATTTTTCATCAAGATATCTAAAATAGCATACCAAATTTTCTCAAAAATTAACCAAATCTAGAATTCTCATAGGAAAAAAAGATGGGGTCCTTTTAGGTGCATCACAGAGCTATTTTTCAGTGACCCAGTTGAGTGGCTCGGGAGAATATCTCTCTCAAACAAAAGACCATTGATAAGTATTCAATAATACTTCATAATTACTAAGTTTTTTGTCAGATGAGTGGATTTCCAAGATGCAGAGGAGCCCTTAGAATGTATTTTAATGATATTTTTCTAGCAAATTGAACCATTATATCTAGAATGCCTTTTCTTTATAAACCCAATTTTATAAAAACGTTCTTAAAGATTTTGTTAGAATAATTAATGAATTTTCTATATACACTGGAAATATGTGTCAGATTAATGCTTGAACATCGGTTTCTTCATATATTTCCTAAATACATATTTACGAAAAATATTAGATATTTCATCAAAATATAAAATTGATAGTTAAAATTCTTTCCTCATCTATTTTCTACATATTTCGAAAACAATATAACAAAAATATATGAATTATATATACTACAAATTTATCTATAATGAATATTTTATGAATGTATACTAAGTGACATATGAATCCGAACACCCAGTTTAAATGGTTTTATTTTAATAAAAGTTGGTGAATGTATTTATCTTACTGTAAATAACAAGTGAAAAAATTTTCAGCCTTATCAGTTGGACATTCCGGTTTTTATACTGCTTTTTTTTAATTCACTAACGCTCTAAAATGAATATTTCAACCGCAGTAAAAAATCAACGTTGGCGGATTTTGGTTCTTGAGATCCTTTACGACCGGTTACGATGCCTAGAGTACGGAGACCTGTACGATTTCGTCAACTCAGTGAGTTTGATAGGGGCCGTATAGTGGGACTTCGGGAAGCTGGACTTTCTTTTCGGGCAATTGCAGTTAGAGTGCAAAGAAGTGTAGACACTGTGGTTAGGTGTTGTCAGGCATGGCTTCGAGAAGGCCGTACGCAAAGAGCAAGGGGCACTGGACGCCGCCGTAGAACAACAGACCGTGAAGATCGCCGCCTAAGATTATTGGCCTTAAGGGACCGTTTCTCTACTACCAGGTCCATTGCAAATGAATGGTTTACAGAACACGGAAGACCTATTGGCATGCGAAGTGTTTACCGACGAATGAGAAGTTTTGGCTTGTTTTCATACCGGCCACACTGGGTCCTCCCTTTAACTCGAGAACACCGACGTAATCGCCTTGAGTGGTGCAGACAACGGTCACTCTGGGATCAGGAATGGAACAGTTTTGTCTTTAGTGACGAGTCTCGATTTTATTTAGGCATGCACGATGGTCGTGCCAGGGTTAGAAGGCGACGTGGTGAAAGGAGGAATCCACAGTTTTCTGTTGAAATACATGTTCATCACACTGTTGGAGTTATGGTTTGGGGTGCTATAGCTTATGGTTCCAGGTCACCTTTAATCTTCATCAGAGGTAACATGAACGCGCAGCGTTATATCCACGAAATTCTAGAACCCCATCTTTTACCCTATCTTGACACCCTGGCAGATCCAACTTTCCAACAAGATAATGCCCGACCACATGTTGCAAGACTCACAATAGACTTCTTTCAACATAATGATGTCACATTGTTACCATGGCCACCAAGATCTCCCGACTTATTCCCAATTGAGCACGTGTGGGATATGATGGATAGGAGATTGCTCAATTTGCAACGTCCTCCTCAGACTCTAGAAGCACTTCGAGAGGAGTTGGTGGTAGCTTGGAATGAGATACCACAGGAGGACATTGACCACCTGATCAGAAGCATGCCTAGGCGGGTTGGAGAATGCGTAGCACATCAGGGTGCATCCACACATTATTAAAGGTCAAAGGGCTTTAAAGCAGTGCAATCATTTTGAAATTTTTATCATTTACTTGTTATGCTTCATTAAGTACTTATACAAAATTTTATTAAAATAAAACCATTTAAACTGGGTGTTCGGATTTATATGTCACTTAGTATATAAGAAATATATTCTTTAAATATTGAAAAATCTGTCGCTACAAATTAATATTTAACAAACATTTTTTTAAATATTTAATAAATATTTATTGCTATCGGAGACGGTTCTTGGATGAACCTACTGATCTGTTGGAAAAATATACTACAAGAAAATCGTTTACAGTACACTACATTTTAATTTGTTTAATTTAAATCACAAACACTAGGTTCTAAGTGACTCCGCGCTCTGTTTTGACAAAACTAGACGTATTTCACGATACCTACGTAAAGAATATTTTCCGTATTTTTTAATAAAATAAGAAGCAATGAGAATCGAATCATAATTTTCTGAAAATACATTAAAGACAAACCTTTTGTAAAAAAACAGGTGATACTGTTCCTGCTTTTTCATTATAGCTGTTAGATGATATTTTTTGATAAACCGATTCCGTCACTCAAAGAAGCACAACAAAACGTACACGAAAAATTTTAAAAAGTGTATAATGCTAGTTTGAAAGCGGGTGAATAATTACTGAGTTGTGATTTTTTTGAAATTACAAACAAACTGTTAATTCAAACGGCTTGTATTTTTGGTTAGTTACCGATTTCTTTGCAAGATTTAAAAACACTCCCAGATACATAACTATACGAGGTATTAATGTATGCTGAACAGTATCCGATCTTCAATGAAATCATTTATTACGACGACTACAACACTAGAAGTACCGGTACCTTGAATATTCCTCTGTTTAGGCTATCTAAAATCTAAAAGAGTATAAGACATATATAGCACCAAAATATTTTAACCAACAACCGTTAAGTATGAGATCTTTAAATTTGAATCAGAGGGCATTTTACTCGAACAATGAGTTTTTGGATTTTAAATTTCGAATTCTGACTTTTTTGATTTCTATCTGATTTTAAATATTACTTTGTATGTGTTTTTCATTTGTCACCTCAGTCTTGTGACTTGTGCAAGTACAATCCATGTACAATAGCACTAATAAAGTATTTGTATTTGTAATAAGCACACAAGTACTTACACTGTAATATCGACATGATCCGCCTATGTACTAATGTCACCAGTGACGTCGGATGCCCAGAAACATCGAAAAATTCCACGTTCCACGGAAAATAAAGAACGGATGAGCGACGCGTGAAAATCAATTTGTCGCAGCAGCCAATTAAAACATTATCTACGGGTTGTTTTTGTGGAATTTTCAGCGCGTTTTCACACATCAAGGCACCAAACGTACACACGTGACGGCGTGGCGCATCTCGCACACGATTTGTCAGAGATTAGTCACGGTTTCTGAGTCTGCCGTTGCTCCGCGTCGCGTTTTGACGAGTGGCACCGCTATAAAGATGGATATCCAGAGTAAAATTATGAATGGGTAGAAATAGGGATGTAAGTAAAAAGCAAAATTATTCATCATGAAGTATTAGTAATTCTCTGCAACTTTGGTGCGTTTTGAAATAAAGCATTACCTTGAATGCATGTATAGAGAAATTAAAGGCATACCGGCCACCGTGAGAAGCCTGCGCATAGGCCGCATAAACGGGACCTTATACATCACTACATTCTCTAAGGGTGGATTTCACCAGGATTGTCAAATCAACAGTCCGTTATTCTCAACCTATTGGGTAACAGTCCGTCAAATAGGGGAAAGGTCCCTATATTGGACCACCTAACAATAATCGCGTGTAAAATCGAAATACGTCACTTAATTCACTTAATAAAAATTGATGTAATTCTTGGGACTATTATCAAACTTTTACTTCTGTAGAAATAATTCTAGGTTTATTAGTCTTATAAAAAATTAAAAAAAGAAAATGACGTCATTTGGTCCAATTTAAGATACCGGTCTCCTAATTTGAACCACCGGTACCCTAAATTGAACCGTGAATCATTTTCTATTATTTGAAAAGAGAACATTTATTAAAATCATCCAAAGCTCGTACAAAAAATATAAACAGTTTTTTAAACACCAGTCACAAAAATCAAACGTTATTCTGAACACTGAAAACAACTATGTAGGAAAAGTGAGTTGTTTTAATGACAAGTTGATAATACTAAAAGAACTGAAACATTTTAATTTTAATGAAACTTCCTAAAACAGGAACATATAATTAGTCGCTATCTGATGATGATTCACAGTTGATACATTCATAGAAATTAACATTTTTTCCATTGATACATTTAAGATGCGACCATTTTTTACAAATCCTACATTGAATCCATTCTTCGCCTGGATTCGATTTAGAATATGGAAATAAACAAACAAGGCATAGACAATCTTCGTCCTCCGATTCAGATTCGCTTGACGTTCCATGTTGTAGACTTCGTCTCTTTGTAATAGGTCTCTTGTTATCGAGTTTGGACGACTTTCCTTTACTGGTAGCTTTTGCAGAAGAAAATACATTTCTGGTGGCTGAAGAAGCATCAATTTTTTTGAGTTGTTTTTTTTCAAGATCGTTCTTGTATGGACTATCTGTAATAATTGTAGTAGAAGACAAGGCCAGGTTACGCGATTTTCTTTTCAAAATGGGCACAGGTGATACTTCGGAAACAGATTTCCTTTTGGGCAGCTCGCTACTTGATTTACCTTTTGTGTTTAGCAAACAGGATGTTGAAGTGGATGCAAGTGGATTGGAATAATCAATGTTAGTCAACTGTGAAGCGCTCTGAATCACTTCTTCGGTTATCTCCGAGTTTACTTGATTTTTAAACGAAGTGGTACTACTAGTACTGGTAGATAGACAAACGTATTCGCTATCATCAAACACATTTGGGTCCAACGGCCATATTCCACATTTGGCAAATCCACTTAGAGCATTCCCAACAGATGCTGCTTTAGCATATGCTTCCCCAAGAAGCGCCGATACCTGAAACTGGGTTATATTTTGGCTTGGATTTGTACGAAGCCATTTATCAGCGGCTTGATTGTAATACGAGTTTAGGGGCTTGAAAAAAGAGACGTCACAGGGTTGCAGTCGATGTGTTGTGTGAGATGGTAGGGACAGCATTACAATTCCATGCTTTCTGGCAAGTAAAATGGCCTCTAGGTTTTTTGTGTGAGTGGTGTGCCCATCCAGTATTAAGAGAACTTTCCTATCAGTAGATGGTTTCGCAAAACTAATAAAATGTTGCAACCATTTAACAAACAGCTCACTAGTTATCCAACCTGACTCTGAACATGCAAATTCTGTTCCTGGAGGGGCGCCTGCCTTCAGTTCATCTTTAAATCTAATGCGCTTGAAAATAAGCATTGGCGGTACGTAATTGCCAGCAGCGTTCAAACAACAGACACATGTCGTATTTACACCTCGCTCTCCGCTCGTAAGTGCTCCTATTTGATGTTTTCCTTTCTGTGCAATAATTTTTTGAGGCCTCTGAACCGTAGAGAGGCCAGTCTCGTCTACATTATAAATGCAAGATGGACTGAAATTGTACTCATTATAGAGAGAAGTAAGGCAATCAAAAAAAGCCTTGACTTTTTCTTTGTTGAAACCTGTAGCCCGCGCTGCTGAAGTAGGCTCTGGTTGTCGAAGAGATAGCTCTTTATGCCTGGACATAAAGCAGTAATACCATTTCTTGCCGGCTTTACCGTTTTTAAATCTATGTAAAATCCCATTAGCTTCGGCGACATCATAGGCAAGTTTTCGCAAATCATTGCGAGTGATTCCAAACAAGCTTCTTTCTAGCTCCAATACATGGTTAACTATTTCATTTTCAATTTCTAGGGGAAGATCCGTAGAACGTCCGAATTTTTTTTCGCATCCATGCACATTTTTGTTTGTATCGTCAATTCTACGTTTCAGAGTAGCTTTAGGAACTTTATATCTCCTAGCGATTTCATTTAAACCGGCAACATTATTTTCATAGGCATTAAGGGCTTCTTGCATGCTCGTCTCGCTCCACTTTCCATACTTTCCCCGTTGAGACATAGTATTCAACTGAAAAAAAAAGGTTGCTTAAATTGGACCGGTTCAAATTAAGAAACTTCATGTGGTCCAATTTAGGAAATCATAACCTCATTTCAATTTTTGGCTCTAAAAAAGTTGTTTTCACTTAAAATCAAATTAACTGCTTAATGACTGTTCAGGAAAATGATGGCTAAATATATATAAACTGACGGATATACAAAACAACTTACCAGTTAAAAACTACAGCTTAAGAAATTCACTTGAAAAATTACATCAGCCGGCATAAAACTTAACAACATGTGATACCTTCGATATTACTAGCAACACAGGTTTCTTTTTCCACATACAGACTGGACTACGCGTAAGCTATGATTGATAGGCCATAGATGGCGCCTCGAATTACCGTTTGTGAATTACAGATGTGGTCCAATTTAAGAGACGGTCCAACTTAGGGACCTTTCCCCTACAGCGAATGAGCTTCGAGTTCCAATCAACAAATGTTTGCAACCAATAGCTATGAAATCTCGAAAACAAAATACTGTCAAAGTATGAGATGACAGCTTGTCATTGAAGCATCACCAGCTTATTGAATATTAAGAAATTACATATGATTTAGTCAAAATTTTGTAATAAAATTCATGTTTTTGTCGATTGTTTATTCATGTTTATATTATTTTCTTCAATTGAGGAGGAGGGAGTCAAGTATGTACAAAATTGTAGAGACAACAGTGAATCCCAGATATTAGATCATAATAATACCATGCCATAACTTAACTGAGCAATGTACTGAGGTCAAGAAAGTTGGTTAGTGAAAAACGCTTTCTAACGCAAACAAATAACCCAGGATCTGTCCAGCAGCTGCTACAGTGGATGAGACGCGTTGGTGTCGGATTCTTGATTTTGATCAAGACAAGCTTAAATTCTTTTGATTCTGACCATTGCAACATATATTCAAGCGTTCCTTAGGCAGGCGTTTGATTAGAAAAATGTTACGCAGATCTTTCTCTTCAAATTATCCTAATGCGAATTATACCATACCATGATTTTTTTTATCAGTTGTTCCACCTTGTTAAGATTATAGTTCCTACTACTTATTTTGATTCGGTACATATTATTTGTTTAGTAACGTCAAAACTTTTTACGCAACGAATCTACTGCATGTCATCACATAGCCGAGCGGCAGCCAATTTTTCTCCCCCGTTTCCGTCGTTTTCCAACGGGAGTGTACATTGGCATAGAGCCGGGGTGGTGATAATTAGGGCTGTTCTGGCAGCACCTAAGCTCTCTTGCACCCTATTACACTCAGGCCGTCTTTTCATATTCAGGGTTAACCTCTTAGGACGTGCCGCGCCGCGTCACTCCGTGCTGCGTCGCCGCTTCGTACATCCGTGCTCCCTTTCTGAAGCCTGCAGTAGCAGGGCCACGACACCACGTACAGTCGACGTCATCAGCGCAGAGGAGAGCTGTTCTGACGTTACAATACAGTGGCGGCGCCAGGATGGTCAAGAAAACTTAAGGTGTGAAGATAGAAGGAGCAAAAAACTGTTTCGGAGAGTCAGTTTGAACTTGTGGAAGTAAGATTTTCAAAAATCACTGCTGAAAACGCGTCTTGTTTATACCTAGCTTCTGATATAAGAGATTTGAGTTATCTATCTAGAACTAGGAAGTATTTTATTCTTCTATTCTCTTTACTCTGTACGAATCTCGAATATGATAAATCATGGAATACTAATAGCGTATCTAGGAAGCTGCTATTCCAACTTCCACTACTTTACTACTAATTTTAACGCATATGTTACTCCTTTTTATCCCATCTTGATATTGTTTTATGCATTAGACCCTGCCTGATACAACCGATGATCTATCCTGCTTGGTCTGAGGCAATCTTCCAGTGGATATGCTCCTCATCAGTTGTACTGATTCAACCAGTTTAAGTTTCCAGAATTAGCTGAATAACTATCTCGGTACTCATTTTAATCACAGTTTCGGCTTCGTTCTAACAATAACGTTCATAATAGTTTCAAATTACAAATGTGAAAACTATTATGAACTTCTAAGAAACCACATTCAGTGAAAATTATCAACACGATGTGACAAAACATGGGGATATTTTATCTTCTATACACCGATACCGATTCTCTCTAGTATTTCTGCGGCAAAAGTGTAATCAATTCATGTACCTTCAAATTAAATAACTCGCATCTATTAAAATTTATTGCAGTAGTTATAGCTATCAATAACAAGGATTTTGGTATTCATGCCATTTTAAAAAGTTTTGTGTACGGCACTGACCACCGCTGCGGGTTTGTGTATCGAAAGGGATTTTTCGCCCTACTCCGCGTACAGGGCACTGCTCTCGTCGGTTTTCAAGACCCGAATGAATTTAATCGGCTGAACTTGCTCTGTTTTAATTTAAACATTGTCGTTCATTACTCTTGATACTATAAGGATGACAACTTATTATCATTTTGAAGTTCATTTTAAGAGCTAGCTCCATAACGACAAAAAACAATGATAACTGTTATTCTCCAGATATCTTTGTATTAACATCGAACACAATATTTGAAAATTTCTGATGTTACGCTTAAACTTCAATAGTTGACAATACAATTACAAGTTGCATCAGTATTGCATCTGCAGTTATGGCAGTATTGCATTTAGGTATGCGTCATTATGTATATTAAGAGATATATACAAATTACTACAGAAAAGTAACTAGAAAACTTAAAGGAGTTTACTGAAAATATAGATTTAAACAATTATTGAGATATTAAGATCACGTATCACGGATGGGTAAGATAAAAAATCGAGGCATATTTTTAATTTCTGCAAATATAGACAGCATCTTAGAACGAACCGTAACTGCAAAATGAATATAAAAAATACATTTAGCATCCTTAAAAACTGTCCAAAATTTTTTATTATAATAATAATAATAATAATAAATGTCTTTATTGGCAATACAACAATAGAGCGAAGTTTAGTCAGTTGGCTACTCTTACACTCAACCCTATTGTGTAAGGAAATATGTATGTATACTAAGTGACATATAAATCCGAACAGCCAGTTTAAATGGTTTTATTTTAATAAAAGTTGGTGAATGTATTTATCTTACTGTAAATAACAAGTGAAAAAATTTTCAGCCTTATCAGTTTGACATTCCGGTTTTTATACTGCTTTTTTTTAATTCACTAATGCTCTAAAAATTTTGGTTCTTGACATCCTTTACGATCGGTTACGATGCCTAGAGTACGGAGACCTGTACGATTTCGTCAACTTAGTGAGTTTGATAGGGGCCGTATAGTGGGACTTCGGAAAGCTGGACTTTCTTTTCGGGCAATTGCAGTTAGAGTGCAAAGAAGTGTAGACACTGTGGTTAGGTGTTGTCAGGCATGGCTTCGAGAAGGCCGTACGCAAAGAACAAGGGGCACTGGACGCCGCCGTAGAACAACAGACCGTGAAGATCGCCGCCTAAGATTATTGGCCTTAAGGGACCGTTTCTCCACTACCAGGTCCATTGCAAATGAATGGAACGGAAGACCTATTGGCATGCGAAGTGTTTACCGACGAATGAGAAGTTTTGGCTTGTTTTAATACCGGCCACACTGGATCCTCCCTTTAACTCGAGAACACCGACGTAATCGCCTTGAGTGGTGCAGACAACGGTCACTCTGGGATCAGGAATGGAACAGTATTGTCTTTAGTGACGAGTCTCGATTTTGTTTAGGCATGCACGATGGTCGTACCAGGGTTAGAAGGCGACGTGGTGAAAGGAGGAATCCACAGTTTTTTGTTGAAAGGCATGTTCATCACACTGCTGGAGTTATGGTTTGGGGTGCTATAGCTTATGGTTCCAGGTCACCTTTAATCTTCATCAGAGGTAACATGAACGCGCAGAGTTATATCCACGAAGTTCTAGAACTTCATCTTTTACCCTATCTTGACACCCTGGCAGATCCAACTTTCCAACAAGATAATGCCCGACCACATGTTGCAAGAGTCACAATAGACTTCCTTCAACATAATGATGTCACATTGTTACCATGGCCACCAAGATCTCCGACTTATCCCCAATTGAGCACGTGTGGGATATGATGGGTAGGAGATTGCTCAATTTGCAACGTCCTCCTCAGACTCTAGAAGCACTTCGAGAGGAGTTGGTGGTTGCCTGGAATGAGATACCACAGGAGGACATTAACCACCTGATCAGAAGCATGCCTAGGCGCGTTGGAGAATGCGTAGCACATCAGGGTGCATCCACACATTCTTAAAGGTCAAAGGGCTTTAAAGCAGTGCAATCATTTTGAAATTTTTATCATTTACTTATTATGCTTCATTAAGTACTTATACAAAATTTTATTAAAATAAAACCATTTAAACTGGGTGTTCGGATTTATATGTCACTTAGTATATTATCAAATTGTGGCTAGAAAAAGGAGATGATATTATCAATTTGAATTATGATTGATTATTCGTAGTAGTTTAGTACAGGTACAATTAAAACTCTTCAATGTCACTCCTTTCTGTATATTCTTATTCATGATATCTACAAAGTAGTGGTTCCTACCGGCCAGTTCTTCATGACAGTTTAAAATTTTGAATTCACAAGGATTTCGGTATTATCATTATAATATGACAGGAAATTCTCATATCGTGTTTTCATGTAGATTGGACAAAACCATAAACACTTCAGTTTGTATTTGCTTGAATTGATTTCAATGATAATACTGTTCCCGATATTGAAAACGGTACCGGTATACAAATATCCAAAAATGCTTTTAAGTCAGATGAAATCCCCACAACCTGCCGTTAATTCTATTAAGGGATGATATCGATTGGAGATGGCGACTGTTCGGAGCTAAATATATACACGACTGAAGCTGAGAGCAAACCTCGTCTTCCGATGAGAAGAGCCCCCTTTTGTGAAGGTGGCAGAAAATTGTAAGAAGTGGTGCTCAAGATATGCAGATAATAAAAGGAAAGCTTTCCCTCACCCTACTCCATGTACGAAACTCAATTCAGTGTGAAAG